TAAATCAATTCTCATTTTCAACCACACATTTTTCAATAAAATAATATTTTCCATCACATCAATACTTTTTTCTTCTTTTTCAACCACACATTTTCCATCATATCACTATTCAAAAATCAATTCTTTCCCCAAAAATCTCTACCAAGATATATCTTGGAGACCAAGTATGACGATGACGTCATGGCTTTGCTGGTAATCTTGATTTTGTGTGCTCCACATTTGTTTATTTTTTTCCACAGTCCACAGAATTATTTATACCTTTCTAGTTTCTACGTCCGGACTAGTTGATTGAATGCTTTCATTGACTTGTGTTCAGTGATCATATACTGTAGAAGCAGAGAAACTGTTCTTAAAATTAGGATTTTGCTACACTATGAGGCCACTTGGGCCTAGCATTAGAATAACCATTAAAATTATTAGTGTTTATTGGGAACTAGGACGGGTTCAAAGATGGCTGCTCAGACTTGCCTTTCATGTTTGGCAAAAAAAAAAAATAAATAAATAAATAAAGGGGATAGTTTTTCTGTAAGTTGAGGACCACAAAAATTCCCACACTGTGGATCTCGCAGCTTATAAGTCAAATAAGGAAATTTGCAGCTTATACCTTAACTTATTTGACTCAAAGTGGCGAATCCACTATATCCACAATCATGAGTGAGAGATCTCATCACAAGTTGAAGTCTTGAAGACAATCATACTGCGAGATATGCACTAGAACTATCCTCACTCCTCATAGGCTCTAGTCCTAGCAACACTCGTATGTGCATCTATCCTTCCGGCTAGTGGTGTCAAAAGGGGTGGGCCGGTTCAAATCGGCCTATCAAGATAAAGAATCGATATGACCCCGTACTGTTAAAGACCCAGCCTGTGGAGATTTTCAGGCAGATTCAAGACCATCCATAAAGTTTTTTGATGAAATCAGAATTGAATCGATGGCCAGCGCAGCTCAATTTTTATTTGAAGAAACCTTCATAAATGAAGGCGGATGGAAGTGATAGTCATTTGCAGCCTTAAAAGTGTAGCCTTAAATTAATAGACTTTTACGGCTACAGGGTAGCCTTTAAAGGCTTTTAAGCTGTTTTGGTTGACAGCCTTGATAGATGGCTAATGGACATCAGCCCTTTTAAATTTATCATGCATCAGTATCCCCATTCTCCATCACCTGTGTCTACTGGGGATATGGCACTACTGATCTCACTTACCATTGATAGGCCTTCTGTGAGGACTTTATATTACTGCAAGATGATCTCCCACGGTGGTCGGTGTCAATCTACCAATAGGTTGGTTGAAGCTGATTTCTTCTCCTTTTCTCTTCCTCTCTGTATAGAAGCTGATGTCAATCTACCAGAGCAGAGCTGACAAAGACATTAATGTCCAAGAAATTGCGAATGGAAAGACCGTGGAGTAACTTTCCTAGTGCTACACTTCCCGAGTGACTGCATGCAGGGAGAATTGAAGCTAAGGTCACAGCGTTGGGCATGACATGCTGTTCCAGCATCTGCTGGACAACAATAAAGGACTGCTCAATCATCTCATTATGTGCATTCGCAGATATCATCGTGTTCCAAACAGATGTATCACTATCACTTTTGCAGCTCCTACAAAAGATTGTTTGTGCTGCTTGTATCAAACCTGATTTGGCATATATGTCTATGAGATAACTGCCAATCCCATCAAATTGAATACCATGCCTACTTAAATAAGCATGAGTCTCTTAACCGATATTCTGGTTTCTTAGATTTGATTCAGCCGAAAGCAGTGCAATAATTGTTACGCCATCAATTGAAATCCCCTGCTGTTGCATCTCATAGACGAGCATCAAACCTTCATTGTCCAACCCCTTTTGCATAAGAGCAGTGATCATGGTATTCCAAGAAACGATGTCTCTTTCATGCATCCCACTAAAGACTTTGAAGGAATTGTAAATGCAATTGCACCTTGGTACAAAGCTATTATAAATAAAGGAAGGAAAAATAAAAATAGAAAACTACAAATAGAGAAAGAAAACCACCCTTCCAAGCGGCTCCGACACCAGCCATCTGCCTGTTCCACCCTTCCGTCCTTGACCACATAAATTTCCAATTTCCTTCACCACCCCACCCCTTTCCCTATACTGCCCAGACTCTCGACCTCTTTCGTCCCAACTCTCTGCTAGGTTTCTCCACCTTTTTTTCCCTATGCCAGCCATTAAGAATTGGGGTTCTACTCTAAAAAAGTCAACCTTGTTAAGAGGAGTAGTCAAATCCTTTATAAGTTGGTCTATGTTTACATTTTTATTTGATGTGTGATTATCTCTCTTAACATGCTCCCTCAAGATGGTGGTTCGTTTGAGCAGACCAATCTTGAAATCCGTATGCTCATTTTTGGAGTCTTAACCGGATCGAATTGTTTGTTAGAGCTTAATGAGCTCTGAAACCATATTAAGAATTGTGATTCTATCTTAAAAGGTCAATCTTGTTAAGANTCTAAAATTACGATTCTGACAACCTTGTAGTTTTTAAGATTTGAGGTTACATCTTAAAAGCTCAACTTTATTAAGAGGAGTAGTCAAATCCTTTTTAAGTTGGTCTATGTTTACATCTTTATTCGATGAAGGATTATATCCCTTAACACAAGCCTCCCTCATCTTTCCTATCTTTTACTTTTCTTCTTGTTTGTGAGGAGCAATACTCCATTTTCTCTCCTTGCGATTCTACTCGCTTTCCTTTCAAGAGAAAATTATCATCCATTTTAATACAAGAAAAATAACTATCTACCAATCCAGAGGTAATCATCCGGTTGCTGCTCCTGCACAAACTTAGTTGAGTATATTTACTTTCAAGTAACTGAAATGGTGGATGGATATACTTAATTTAATCGGGCGATTCTCAATATTATAGTTACCAATTTGACAGTTGAGAAAAACCATAGCAACTAAAATGATATCTACCCCTCATTTTGCTATGGTCTTCAAGTTGTCCACTTTGAATCACTTTACGATGAGGTCAACGTTGTTTCATATTAAGAATTAGACTTCTTCCCATAAAAATAAAAAAAAAAGGAATTAGACTTCTTGAAATGCCCAGTTCTTTACGAGGTACTTGAGAAAGAAGGCAAGAACCTATTGATGGCCTAAATTTAGTATATGCACTATCTAAGCGATCATTACAATGAACGTCACTGGTGACAGTATTCAACGGGATACGATCACTGGCCCTTGTACCATGTTACGTTTGTGCAAGTTTGGTTTAGCATAGTGAATATACTTACAAGTTTGTTAAACAAAGTTCCAAATAAGCAAGTTACTTGTTTCAAGCATGTTTTGGGAGTTGTTTATAAATATTTTAAATTATTAATAGATAGAAATGAATGATTAATGAGTGAGGAGTACTTGTGTGTCATACGATATATATATATATATATATATGGAATAAAAAGTACCTAACCAAACACATTGGGTAACAAAAATTAAAGGAAAGGAAGTTTGACGTACATTTAAGCTACCCAAACATTATCTATAGCAATAGTGCATGTTTTAAACTTGTTGTCAACTTGTCATGTTTGAAAATGTGCTAGGTTGGAAACTAACTCCAATAAGAGATGTCATGCACGGACAAAGGTAAATTGTACATGTGGGGAAATGCCAAAGATTGCCAGCTCAGGCTGCCGGAGGTACAATCATCTCCTCTTGAAGTAAAGTTTCTTGTAGAGGATGGTGACGAAGATGAACCGGGAAACCACAGTGTACTTTCTGTAGCACTTGGTGCTTCTCATGCCATGTGTCTTGTTTCAAGATAAGGTTGCTGCTAATAACTGAACTCTTTTCCTGCTAAATAGTTATCATGCACTGTCTAAGAAATAGTACAAATTTATGATTGTATACTGATTTTTCTCTGAGGCTGAAAGCCTGAAACCAAGGTATCAAATCTAGTATCTCTATGGACTGATACCGTCTCAAGTTGATCTTTAGCAGCCAAAAGAATGAGGCCATTTCAATGACTTGTGTATATATTTATCTCAAAAAAATCATGATTACTAAACTCCGAATCGCGTAGGAAAATGAATACCTCAAATGCTTGTCGGAAAGATGAATTTTTTTTTTTTCATTTTCCTTTTATCTATTTTAACATAAAGTAAGGGTGTGGCGATGTTGAATCTTTAATGGTCAAATAAAGAAAATTTGTCATTGTGGACTACAGTTACTTAAAAATTTAACAAGTCGAAGATTACGCTATCATAAAATGCAAGTTCTAGTCGCCATCACAAGCGTATCATCTACTGAAGACCGATGCTATAATTTTCTCTAAATTGAAAGTCTGGTATAGCGAACAAGATATTTATTGTCAATTTTTATGACAGAAATATCATTATAAAATATATGGCGTAAGTCCTTTGAACGGAACCAGATTACACTATAAAAATACTTGAACACCAGACATTTCTTTACACTGTAATCTTAAATAAGTAGTTTTCATGGAAAATAATCAATTGATGTAGTCCTCTTTCTCCTTAGAGGTGGTGTTCCTATTATGAAATGCAGAGCACTGGTAAGCAGGCCGTGAAATCTGCTCTCCTATGCTGCTCGGGCACGCCATTTTCCCCACTACTACAGGTACCTCCATACAGTTATATGATAAGCACACTGCAACCGAGTCCCACGGCGGCCATGATGACCCGGCCGCGGTCTGGAACCCAGTAATGTAGTTATGTTGCAAGTACAGCGTTTTTGTTTTGCCTGCGCTCAAACTCCCAAAGTATTCCTTGGGCACTGTTCCTGTTAACTGATTATTGTTCAGAAAGAGAGACTCAACTCCTACTAGAACCCCAGTTATTTCACCTGTCAAAAAGTTGTGACTAAGATCTATAATGGAACCTGGTCCATAGGGGTATGGTGACAATGGAGGGAGCCCACCTGATAAATTATTTCGTTGGAGCAGCATTGAAGTGAGCTTAGGCTGGAAGAGGGAGGTGGGGAGGCCCCCACTGAAGTTGTTCATGCTTAAGTCAAGGTATACTAATTCTGGGATTGATTCCAGGCAGTTGAGGGGGCCCCACATGCGGTTCTGAGATGCCGACAGGTAGCGAAGTGACGCCGGCATCCTTGGCGGCAGCATGCTGGAGATGTTATTCTGACTGAAATCCAAGTGCAGGAGTTGCTGCGGAAATCCACGGGGCAGCTGTCCAGAAATCTTGTTGTCGGCCAGCAATAGAACTTTCAACTGAGTTGATGCGGATATGGTGGGCGGGATTGTTCCTGAGAGATAGTTGTGGCTGAAGTCCACTGTGTGGAGATCCGGCAGAGCGAAAATGGATGCCGGGATTGTGCCGGTTAAGTGATTGTTAGTGAGTGAGAGGACTCTTAACTTCCTTAGGGAGCCAAGTTGGGAAGGTATGGTCCCTGTAACAATGCCAGCAAACAGAACGAGCTGGCTCAACTCGGTAAGGTTGGCAATAAAGGGAGACAGTGTTCCAGCCAGTCCTGGTGAATCAGATAGGCCAGTACCTAGGACAAGTGACTCGACTCGTCTTGGTTGTTCAGAAGATGAACAGGTGACTCCAGCGAAGGATAAGCAAGGGTCACCCGAGTCGAAGTCCCAGCTTGAGAAGAAGTGTAGAGAAGTGGTGGTGCGAATGTCAATGAGGGTGTTCTTGATCTGGTGCAATGCTTCAAGATCAATGGCACTGATGTTGTTTTGCACTTGTGCAATTGTTGATCGGCAGTGAATCAGATAGAGAACAAATGCTAGCATCAACAGAGAGCACTTTTTGGCCATAATTTTCTCTGTATGAGTGTGAGACGGAGGAAGAGATTATAATGGTGGAGTAACAAAAAACTGAACAAGACCAACTGGATGAGAAAGGGGTCATTTGTACCAGAAAGAGGGTGAACATTGTCTGCATATTGTTAATTTATTATTTGAAAGAAATAATTAATTGGGATGGTTGGCTGAATGAAAAAAGGGGTGAAATATATGTGTTCGTATTTAATTCTGAGTTATAAGTGGAATTAATAATTCGTGGGGTATATATACATCTCTTTCCTCTGAAAAAAATATAGAAATCATTTCATCTTATATACTACATAATTGATTCTCGAAGTATTTTGTTAATACGTAATTCATAAAAGTTCTGAAAATCACTTGGTCTTGTTGAACAAGCGATTTGATTGTTGTGTTTTGGGAGTAATTGTCTAAAGAGATCGCGGCAGTTAACGGCAGACAATTTCACTTTAAGATATCAAACTGTAACAAGACTTGAATGTCTCGAACTTTTTGCATTTTATTGTTTAGAAAAAGTTTAATGTCATGTGGTGTGGGGTGGTGTGTATAGAGACAACAGAAAGAGAGGTACGAGGGATTGAAGTAAGCTCAAAATTGTGGGGCAAGTTTGTGAGGGCGACAGAGCAAAGAAAAGTGTTTGTTTGCGTGAAGGGGTGGGATCACGCTTATGTCTCAATGTTCTTTATCAACTTGGAAATTCTAAGTTGTAAGAAATGTATTATTGATCCCATTTTTCTTTTAACCTTTTGTGAACTTCGATGATTATTTGACATTTATAGTAATTGTCTTGACACCAAAATAGAATTCAACCTATTGGAAATTTGAAATATACCACTTGTGTCTAAGAAGGTATCCAGGAGGGGATTAAGCTAGTTTGACATCCTTTAACGTGTCAAAATCGAGACCATTGATTTGAATAAGTGTTGTTAAAATTAATGATAAAACTGTGTACCATGTCAAATAGTGTAAATAAAACTGTCAACCATAATGTAAGTGTAGCAAAATTGAAAGGGAAGGCATCTATGGAGGCATGTTATTCCTCATAAGAATCAGCATGATATTTCTAATCAATTAGAATACAGAAAATTCAATCTCGTGCAGTGTTATAATAAGTGCACAAGCGATCAACTCTTCTTTTGACCATCTAATGTGCGGCTAGGCACAATATTTTTAGTTTAACCTGAATGTGGTCAGGTTCAATTTGATTCTAAAGAGAATTGAACCAAAATTTTTGGATATTTAGTAAGTAGAATCGTCGTATCCAAATTTAATTATGTAACCAAATCATAATTAAATTTTTTAACATTTACAACAATACTTCATTAACATTGTTGACGTCGAGAATTGTATGAACAAAATTCAAGACAACTTAAAATGGAAACAATAGTAACACTTGTAGTTATAATTACAATTTGCAAGTCGTTATCAATTAAACTCTTATTTCCATTTTAAGTTGGTTTGAATCTTGTTCATACAATTCTCGACGTCAACAAACACAATTAATGATATGTTCATTCTTAACTTTTACAAAATAATATAGTTCAATTTGAAAATATACAAATAAAAATTTATCTAATAAAATATATTTACCAGTTTATACTAATTATTAAAAAAAAAAAAATAACGCTAAAGCATTCGTGATTCCATACATTGATTCCTTTGTTTCAAGCTTTCAAATCTACATAGGATTTTATTTATAAAAAATTAAAGTAATTTGACTTATTCAATATAAAAAAATTTAAAAAAAAATAGAAAGATTTGATTCTTCATCTAGAATTGGGAATTGATCCAAACTGTCAATTCTAGTGCCCATTTGGGTATTTAACCTAAGAAAAATTGAATCGAACTGAATCACCCCGATTCGATTTGGAAGTTTTATTCGGTCCTAAGTTTAACTTTATTTTCATTTTTTCACTTTTGAACCTTAAATTTAACCCTTCCAACTTTTTAAATAAAACAAATAATAGTATTTATCATTTTAGATGCTTGATAATATTGGTTGGCGAATGATGGGATGATATCGTTGTGCCAGGATTCATTGGACTCAATAAATTATCCAGTGTAACGAGACTAAAATTGTTGAGTCTAGGAATCCTGGCACAACGTATTAATTGGTTAGGAAAACTAGTCCAGTGTAACGAGACTAAATTTATTTTCCTTACTCTGACTTTGCTGTTTTAGTCTTATTATTATCGTATGAATCTTTCGTTTAAAATTTTGAAACATAATTTATTTGGTTATAAATTTCAGTTTGTGTTAAATTATATTGGTGGAACCAACAATTTATTATTTATCTATTAAATCTGATATGCATGGTTTTTAGCATTTATTTGGAAATTTCGTGAACTGTAAATTTAAGGACACATTTGTATCAAATAAGTTACTTAAAATTGGCTTAATTAAGTATTAACATCATCAAGATACTTTAGAAGAATATCATACATATTTCACGAAGGGTGGCAATATGTATTCTTTAGTAGAAGAAAACTACATGAAAGTTAATTATAATAATTGTTTTCTAATTTATTCTTGTTTTTATGGGTCAAGTCATTCCATTAATGCCTACAATCCATCCAACTCCGACTTATAAAATCAACTGAAAAGGAAGCGGAAACGCCCAAAAAAAAAAAAAAAAAATTCATGTCGTCTTCATAAAATGTCACGCAATAATGCAAGACGTATAAATTATTATTGAACTAAACATAGACATTGATTTCATGCATGCGTGGATCAAATAGACTACCTCAATCGTAGATGAAATGGCATCGATAGAGGTGACAATGGGCTTAGTCGAGTCGAGCCGTACGCATACGAGCTTGGCTCGTGCTCGTCACGAGCCGAGAAGAAGCTCAGCTAGTTACTTGTGGGCTGAGCTCAGCTCAGCCATGAGCTTGTGGCTCGTGGGCCAAGCCAAGCTTCGACTGTGAGCTCGTTAAATTTTATTTATTTTATTTTTTAAAAAATAGGATATACACCCTCCATCTTGGACGAGAGCAGCCCACGAGCCAGCTTTTCACGAGCCAAAGAGCTGCTTTGTCCGTTTACCACCACTAGGCATCGATCATAACCTGCATAAAGATATTAAGCGCCTATTTGACAATTATTAAAATGAGTTTTCTTGGAAAAAATGAGTTTTAAAATAGTAATTTTTTGAAAAATGTACGTTTAAAAAATGGGAAATTTTTTTAAATTTAAATGCAGAATATTTCATTTTGAGAATGTCTAATTAAAAATGAACTTAAGAAAAAAAAAGAGTTTTTTCTTAATGGTTGTCAAACCGGGGCTAAGTATAAAATTTATTGTATTGAGGTGAAGTATTTTGTAGAAAGAAAGAAAGCTGTAAAAAGTATATGCAAATAATTTTTTTGTCATCATTTTAATGAATTAATATCTAAATATAAGGCTTTAACAACAAAGGACAGTTTCAAAGGATTTTAAACCTTTCTATCAAACATTTTTCTTTTTCTCTTTGTTTTCTTCGTATACGTCATACCAAATTTCTTTGGTTCTAATTTTGTTGAATTGACGAAGTAGGTAAGGTTGGCTTGGCGAGAGCCTCTAATAAACCATAGTTTTGTAGAGAATCGTGTAATCTCCTTATGTGGGATATAGTGTAAGTTCAATCAGACTACAGTCCCATAGTTTTTCCTTCTGCATTTGAGGGTTATTCATGTAAAAATTGCTCTATCTTAAAATATAATTTCATTTTAGCTTTGTTGAAATCCTATTTTATCACATAAAAAAGGGAAAATCATTCTACTAGTTGGCGATATTTCCCAAAGAGTAATGGCATTCATTATTAGTGATGTCATCGCCAATTTAGGTGACTCTCTAATTTACTTTTCAATGTTATTCTATTAGAACATGACATTTTCATACAGAGCGTGATCACATTTTACAAGTATTTTGTAACGATTTGATGTCCCATAGACAAATACGCACATTTGAATGCTCTTCTATGCCATAATCATCATGTGTGGGACCCTGTCTCACGCCTTATTCCATTCACTATGTGTCGTTACAAAATGTCAGCGCTTATTACCGATACTTGTGAGGTTCACTATCTACAATTGGCGATCAATTGTAAATTCTTATTATAGTTACCGATAGTAAACCAATAAAATTGCTCTAAACTAAATCGCTAAAATCTCACCCAATTAGGTTTAAATCATTAATATTGAATCAATACACTAAGGCCGTATTTGATAGGCCACTTTTTTCGGAAAAGTAGGAAAATATTTTCCACTTTCCACTTTTTTGGCTGTTTGATAGCGAAATTTTTCACTGAAAATATTTTTCAGATTTTCTTCACACATGTGCAATTTTTGGGTTTTTGATGAAAATATTTTCCCGACTGGTTGGA